ACGACATGAAGGTTTCAAATGCTCAGAGTACTTTGCCACTATTGCCTGGTGTGAGATCCAGAAACAGAACCGATTTTGTTGGTTGTGACTCATTTTGTTTCCGTGAGATCTTTTCACCTCAACAGAAGTTTTATACCTTGACAACAGACAACTTTACATTTCACTAGCTACACAATTTAAGACATGTACAGTAAAAAAAAAAGAAGCCGCTAGTATTTTAGTTTATGGAACTAAGCGGCTTAATAAGACTGGTTTATCTAATATCGAGTGACACTAGAATATTTTTCGTTGTAGATGACCGAACAGTGAAGGGGCATCAAATTGACAACTTTTAACTGGTTAATTCCTTATAGCACCTTCCATTTATTAGAAAATTTTCCTGAGTTCTATAATACACCTTACTACCCATAAGGATGACACGAACTGTAAAAAAAAAGAAAAAACGACACGTGGAAGTAAAGGTAATAAGTTTATGCGACGTTCTTTTTTTTTTTTAAGAGTTTTTTCCACGTGAATCTTTTTTTTTTGTCAGATCAAATATAATACCAACTAATTGACCCTTTCTCACCATAGAGTCTCCCGTAGCTCAGTGGTTAGAGCATCCGACTAGATCACGGAGGGTCGTGGGTTCAAATCCCATCTGGAAACTCGATTTTTAAAAAAATTGTTTATCTCAGATCAAAGATACTCCGAAAAATATTCAAATATCAAAACCCGATAAATTTTCTTCGTGCCAAACGGAATGCTTTTGCTTAAACTAGTTCAGCTTACATTCTTCACAGCATAGAACAAAACATTCATAAAAGTATCCTTTAATTTCAGCTGATCCAGTAGTAGAAAGAAGTTTCAGTAAAGATTTGAAGGTTGCGTGTTATTACCTGTTTTGTTGAGAAAGTGTAGAGAATAGGATTGATGGCAGAGTTAACCGGCAGAACAAAGACTGCGATCCAAACTGCCAGGTCACCAGGTGTACGGAAGGATTTTTCCAAGAGAGACCTCATCCCAATAACCACAATGGGCAGCCAGCAAACACAGTCGGTAAGAATAATGAAGAACACTCTTTTGGCGAGCGAGGCCTCCCTCCTCAGATCGGCTGCCGTATGCTTGGCTTTCATTTTCCTCTCTCTTTCGGTCCCTTGCTGAGCCAGGCGCCTATTTGATGTGCAGGACTTGTAGATAATCATGGAATAGGCCACAATGACGGAGAACACAAGAGTAAAGTTTAAACCAACAAACATGGCAACAGAGTACTCCCAGCCTGAGGGCTTATCAGCAGAAAGTTGCAATGGGAGACATACAACTGATCTGCCATAAAAGTGGTGACCTTTTTGGCGACTACCAAAGTAGTCGATGCCCACCGTGGGAATAAATGCAATTAACCCACCAACAATCCAGATAAGGAAACACAGAAGGTGCGTAACCTTGATTGTAAGGGACTTTCCACGATACGGGAAGAGAATATTCTTAACCCGGTCGGGGGATATCAAACAAATGGTCATAACAGACACCTCACTTGACAACACGGCAATGGCACCTGTTATCTGACATGACAAACTTGAACGCCAGTTATAGTCATGCAAGAAATACTGCCCTGCCCAAATGGCATCCATTACACCTATTATGATAAGGTAGATACCCATCAGTCCATCAGACCCGGCCAAATGTATCAACATGATAGACTGTATCTTATTCTTCTCCTTTTTCTCCTTATACACCAACCGCCACACGATGACAAACACAGCACCAACCAACGACATAACTCCGACCACCCAGAGACATATCCTAGGGGCTTGATCTCTGAACATAGTTTCACAGCTGGCGAAGCTGTCGACATAAGCAAAGTCGCAATCTGCGTCCTCCTTCGTCAAATGGCAACACATCAGGTTGGTGTCTACAGTCCTACGGTTCGTAAAAAGTATTGACATGAGTCACAAAAGGGGAATCAAATAGAACATTTTGATTCTGAATTTAAGACAATGAAAGGATGATAATAATATTCTACATGTTGCTTTAATGTATACAGATGAATAGAATTTCTCTATTGGACATCTCCAGACATCGAGAATATTTCACTGACTTACGCTGTTATTAAATATTTCATGTTCGAGAAGAAACCGGCCGGTAGTTCTCGCATTTCGTTGTAATGGAAGTA